TTTCAAGGGGAGGACGCCCCTACAGGAAGTCCAAGTGACTCCTACACTGTTCTTCCCATCGGGGGAAGGCTAGCCCACTTCTTCCGCCAGTGGGAACTCACTTCCACGGACAACTGGGTCTTACAAACCATCCAGTTTGGTCTGTCCCTGGCGTTTCTAGCCAAGCCCCCAGACCGATTCATTGTCTGTTCCATTTCCAGGGATCCACTCAAACAGGGATTCATGCAGGAGGCCATCCAACATCTTCTAGAGATTCAGGCCATAGAATCGGTACTGCTGGACCATAGGGGAGGGGGGTTCTATTCCATCCTATTTGTGGTTCCCAAGGCCTCAGGGGAGTGGAGAGCGATTCTGGACCTCAAACATCTAAACTATTACATCACTTACAAAAAGTTCAAGATGCAATCACTCCAGTCCATCCTGGAGACTTCCTGGCGTCAATAGACCTCACGGAAGCGTACCTCCACATTCCTATTCATCCAGCTCACCGATAATTCCTAACGTTCTGTTACAGGCGCAGGCATTTCCAGTACAAGGTCCTTCCTTTTGGCCTTTCTTCAGCACCCAGGGTGTTCACCAAGATTCTGGCTGTGCTAGCCGCCCAGTTGAGGAAAATACCAATACGCATCCAGTGTTATCTGGACGACATCCTGATTCAAGCGTCATCCTTCCAGGCAGCTCACACCATTCAGGTTCTTCAACAACATGGCTTCTCAGTCAATTTTCAAAAAAGCCAGACAGTTCCTTCATCCAGGCTTCTGCACCTGGGAGCCGTCATAGACACCACAAATTGCATGGTCTATCTCTCTCAGGAGCGAGTGGTCAGCATCAGGGACCTGGCTCGCCAGGTGTACAGGGAACATACAGTTCCATTGGTCTTACTCTCCCAACTGTTGGGAAAGATGGTCTCCTGAATAGCCATAGTTCCCTGGGCCAGACTCCACTTGCGGGACCTCCAATGGTTCCCCCTACCATTCCAGCGGGTGAATGCCAGCACATCCAACTGTCAGGTCAGGGTCTTGGTTCACATTCGCAAGGCGCTACACTGGTGTTCTCACAGGCAGTGACCAAAGGATCACCCTTCAAGGAACCGGACCGCATCACAATCAAAACAGACGCCAGTCTGTTCGATTGGGGAGCCCATCTACAGTCTCAGTTTGCGCAGGGCCATTGGTCCCGCGCAGACTTGAGACACAACATCAATTGGCTGGAGCTCAGGGCCATCCACCTAGCTCTTCGCCAATTCAGGCACTGGATCAGGGGTCGTCACGTTCTAATCCTTATGGACAACATGGCGTCCAAGGCACACGTCAATCATCAGGAGGGCACCAGGCCCAGGTCCCTCATGTCTGAGGCATGGCTCCTGGGTTCCTGGGCAGAGTCCCACCTGGCCTCTCAGGGCTGAACACATCTCAGGGGTCGAGAACCAGCAAGCAGACTTTTTGAGTCGCTCTACGGTGGATCCCTCGGAGTGGGGGTTGCATCCGGATCTGTTCTCCGAGATCTCCCACATGTTCGGCCATACAATCCTCAACCTGTTTGCGTCATCAGCCAATGCCCAACTCCCCAGGTACTACTCCCGCTATTTCCTTCCAGGGGTGGAGGGGACGGACACCTTGCGGACTCCGTGGCCACAAGGTCTTCTTTACGCCTTCCCTCCCCTCCCACTCATACCAGCGACTATCCGCAAGCTACTCCAGGAGCAGGCGGAAGTGATCCTCGTGGCCCCATACTGGCCACAGAGCCCATGGTTTGCCGACTTGGTGAATCTTTCCCAGTCTCCTCCGTGGAAGATTCCTCCTCATCGCGTGTCATTACGCCAGGGGATCCTCCAACACCCGGACCCTCAATGGTTACAGTTGACCGTCTGACGCTTGAGCGCAGCATAATGACACAAGAATTATTTTCCCCTCGCGCCATTACCATGATTCATTACCATCCAGCGACCAATCGCATTTATGATTCTACTTGGAAAAATTTTTGCCATTGGTGTTGAAGGCGACAACTGGATATTTCCAAATTGACCAATTCTTCAGATTGTAAATTATCTTTTGGACAGTCTGGACAGAGGCCTCGCCCCTGCGACTATTCGCAGAGAGGTGGGGGGCCCTGTCAACATTACTCACTTGTGTGGATTCCGTTCCCTTAGCTCACCATCCTAGGATTCATGCCTTTATCAAGGGTGTGTGCAACACCAGGCCTCCCGTGGTACACAGGTACCCCTCTTGGGACTTGCCTTGCGTCCTTCGCGCTCTAACAAACTACCCTTTGAGCCCATAGTGACTATTCCGTTGCGGAACCTGTCTCTTAAGGTGGCGTTCTTAATCGCCATCATGTCAGCCAGACGTATCTCTGAGCTGGCTGCCTTATCAGTCAGGAATGACCTTTGTATCTTTCACAGCGGTCGGGTGGTCCTTCGTCTGGACCCCAGCTTTGTAGCCAAGGTAAACTCGCTCTTCCACAGGGCACAGGAAGTCATCTTACCAAATTTTTGTCCCAATTCTTCCCATGACTTGGAGTGGCAGTGACACATGCTGGACGTCCACAAGGCACTGCGGCATTACATGAAGCTCACGGAGCCTTTTCGTAGGTCTGAGGCCCTATTTGTTTCTTTCCGTCCGGCTTCTCTGGGACAGAAAGTTTCCGCTGGCACTATTGGCAGGTGGATCAGGGCCTGTATCACAGAGGCGTACCAGTCCTCTTCCCTGCCGGCTCCAAGTCATCTTACTGCCCATTCCACTCGCAGTGCTGAGACCTCTGCGGCATGGACCACTCAGGTGTCCATCTAGGAGATTTGCAGGGCTGCAACATGGTCTTCGGCCTCCCCGTTTGTACGCCATTACAGAATCGACCGCTTCGCTTCAGCAGACGCCTCCTTTGGTCGGAGGGTCCTTCAGCAAGTGGTCTCCGGGGGCACTATTCCAGCCTTATCTGTTTCCCACCCATCGGGACAGTGAGGGTTTGGTATGTCCCATTGGTGGATTCTCCATCTCCTGTACTGGAGAAGGGGCGTTGTCTTACCTGAACGCCTTTTCTCAGTACGGAGATGGAGAATCCACTCCCACCCTTTAGGTCAGTTAAGGGTTTGAGAGCCAACACCTCGTCCACCTTCAGCCACTTCGCCCTCGTTAAGACTGGATCTCCTAGCAAGAGTGGGCGTGTCAAGTTTGGCTACTTGGTCTCAAGAGCAGGCAGACAGAGAAAACCCATTGGTGGATTCTCCATCTCCGTACTGAGAAAAGGCGTTCAGGTAAGACAACGCCCCTTCCACTCTGCTGTCTCTTCCCAACCTGCAGCCTCTTGGCCTTCCACTTGCTCCTTCGGGTTATCGCAATCCCCGGCTATGCACATATAGCCACGGGAGAGTTGGTGGCTAGAGTCATGGCAGCACCCTGCCTCCAGCCCTGGTATAATTCTCCCGTGGCTGTATGGTCAGAGCTGTGAAGGGGGCCAGGGGGTTGAAACTGCCAGCCCACGGACTATGCAGACAGCCTAACACTGGCCTCCAGAGCTGCCGCCATTGAAACCATACAATATAGGTGACGAATGGGGAGCAGGCAGTGTGAGGCAGTGCCACAGATCCCAAGTAGCAGGTGGAGGAGGCGGAGGTGGCCACTGAGCAAAGTGATCTGCAGGGCGGGCAGTGCGAAGGGGGCGGCGGGGACCAAAGAAAGCCCTCCAGTGGCAGACACGGCTGTTGCGCAGGGGTGGCAGTGGCCTTTTGTCATCACTCCCACTGGTTCGAAATGGCGGAGGGGAACCAGGTAAGGGGACTGAGCCTCCCCTGCCCATCCTTCGTAGTATGGCAATCCGGCTTGGGAGGGGAGTGAAAGGGAAGAGATAAGCAGGCAGCTGGGTCACTGAACAGGTGGGGGGAGGTCGCTGATTGGGAATGGTCTAGCTGTGGGGTCCCTGAAGTGCGCAGGTGCAGGGCGCATGGGGCAGCTCCACCCCCTGCCACCTGCCTTGCCTCACCTCACCTTGTGGCAGTGGCACCAGTCCTGTTGCAGCAATGAGCAACCAGACGGTGGGACAGAGTAGACGGGCTCTTAACTAGGGCTTATTTTGGGTGTAGAGCTTATATTAGGTGCACATTAAAAAATCATGCTAGGGCTTATTTTCTGGGTGGATCTTATTTTTGAGGAATCATGGTATTTTAAACTCTGGAGGTTCTGTTAATTGAAAAAAAAATAGTTTCCCAAAATAGCAGTATCTATATTCACAGAGACAGAAATGTAAATTTTCTGTTTAAAACAATGGAGAAAGATTTTCTGTATGTTCAACTGGATCAGCCTTTGGCAGTATCTTGCCAATATTTTTTGTATTATTTTGAGATTCTTGGGGGTTTTCAAGAAGATTTTGAAGGAGTTAAGTATTTGCACCCTTCTTCATTTAAAAGAAATCATATTGTCATTTAAGTTCAGCCATTTTGTTGCTAAATAAAGTAGAACATTATAGCCTGAGTTGTGAGAGTATGGATATAAAAATGGCATTATAAGACTATAAAATAGTTTCAGTTTGTGATGGCTTCTATTTCCTCCCGCCCGTTTTTAAGAACAACCATACTGAAATTTGGCCATTTGACATTGCAATCTCAGGAACCCAGGGATCCACAGATTGGATGCCACTAGGTCTTGGCTGTTCCACCTCCGCTGTAACTGCCGGAGCTTTGTTGTCCATAAACCAGGTCTATAAAGTGTGCGTAGCCTGTTTAGATCAAGAGCAACAAGTGAAAACACTTGTATAGCTAGAATTTATTTTTAGAATTTAGGATTATAATTAAAATATGTGAATTAGAATTTGGAGACATTACAATTGAAAGATATATAATGCAGATACATTAATTCATGCTAGCTTAATTCTCAAAGATGCATTTATATATGAACTTAAAGATATATGCTGAAGATGTTTGAAAGTGTTAAAATTAATTTGTAATAGTATAGCAATAACAGTAATAGTAATTGTTTACTATTAAAAACAATTTCTCCCCTACTTAACAGAAAACCACGACCCAGTAGTGCACGACCAGCTCCACCCCGTATAAAACGACAACAAAGTACAGAGATTTTAATTCCAGAAAGGTAGGGACAAATTATGAATAATGAAAAATTCTTAATATTGCTGATATACTTACTATTCTATGAGAGCCAGTTTGGTGTAGTGATTAAGGCATCAGGCCAAAAACAGGGACATTTTGACATCCCTCCTTACAGCACAAATCAGCTGGGTGATCTTTGGCCAGTCATTTGCTCTCAGCCCTAGGAAGGAGACAAAAGCAAACCACTTCTGAAAAACCTTACAAAGAAAACTGCAGGAACTTGCCAAGCAGTCTCTGAGAATTGTACATGATTGAATGGAAGGGGAAAAAACTATAATATATCCAATTAGAAAACACAATCCAGTTTGCATTATCAAACATGATCACTAGCCAATAAGCTAATAAAAAGACTGTCCATTTCACCATTTTTCCAGTTTGTTTGAAATTTTTAATACATGCTATTTGCAGGCAAGATCAACAAAATATGTGTTATAGTTTGCTTTTCTATTTCTTTGATTATTTGGCACAATTATATTACCCAAATAAGGGTTAATAATAATTATAGATTCAATGGTTCAAACTTATTCTTAACTTCTATGGCATACATAAATGAGATGTTGTTCACATTGAATTTGGGGAGGGGGGGATAGTACCTTCTTTCACTTAGCATAGTTCGAGCTTCAGTTTAGCCACTAATAGCTGATGGTCTGGGCTACAATCAGTGCCAGGAAGTATATTGACTTAACAGATGCAACTGAATCTTTCCAGCATTGTTAGCATAAAATGAAGTCTATCTGATTTTTATGTTGTTCATTTGGTGCTACCCATGTGTATAAACATCACTTGTATTGAATAAAGAACATGTTTATTATGCTGAGATGATTTACCTGGCAAAATTACACTAGGCAATTGCCAGCTTCATTCCGTTCACATTGCGCAAACTAGTATACTATTCTTGCAACTTTTCCTTGGCTTACTTTTGCATTGAAATCGGCTGTAATACTGTATACAAAAGATCCTTTTTTTTTTTTGTATATGCTTGAGAGCAAATTGAAGCTGATGGTAAAACAGTTCAGTTTCATTGTCTTTTGAATCTACAGTTGAAGCATAGATTTGTAGTATGGTGATATTGAGTGGCTTGCCTCAAATTTGGATAGATATTATGCGATCGCTATATGCTCTGTGATTCTCAACACATTTAACCCGTGATTACAAGAAAATAACTCCTTTTTGTATGATGATACTGTTTCACAAAAAATAAATCATAAAGTCATCTGATTTGAATTGACCAGTGCCTGTCCAGTGAAACTCACTGATGCCAAGGATGTCTATGTTCACTCCAAACATTTCTCTTTTTACAATTTTGAGTTTTCCAAAGGACATGCCTCTAACATTCCATGTTCCAGTTTGATATAACTTTGTACAGTAAAGGCGACCTCTTTCATCATGGGCATCAGCAATAGGTGTCATCTGCAAATTTGATGAGTTCCCCTTCTATTCCCTCATCTAAATCATTTATGAAAATATTAAAGAGTACTGGGCTTAAGACAGAATCTTGGAGTAGCCACTGCTTACTTGCCACCATGTAGATGTAGTTCCATTAAAAACTACTTGTTGAATGCAGTTTGTCAGCCAGTTACAAATCCATCTGGTGGTGATGCTGTTTATCTTCTACCTCAGAAGTCCCCAACCTTTTTGGCACCAGGGGCCGATTTCATGGAAGACAATTTTTCCATGTACCGGGGTGGGGGAAAAGGTTTCAGGATGATTCAAGTGCATTACATTTGTTGTAAATTTTCTAAATAAACAAACAAAGAAGTAAATAATGTACTTTAGTTCTGTTATTATATTAGATTAGACCAGTGACTTTCTGTTTCTAAGAAAGAGGAAAAGAAAAGAGACAATCCTAAACTCAGCCTTCCAGCAAAACAAACCAAAGACCCAGCATGCTGAGTAAATGCTGAGAAAACCACGAGAGAGAGAGGGGGGGAGAGAGAGAGAGAGCGCAACCAAACCAACTCAGCACTGCGCAAGCACCCAATTTCATGGTTCTGATAGATGAGACCAGTAAAAAGAACTCAGAGGGTAAAAAGCTTCCTTTTATTTGGCTACATAATATCGGCACGGTCAAAAGTGAACCCAAAACTGAAACATCCCCTCAAGGTTACAAAGTTACAAGTGAAACTTCCCACTCCTGTAGCATGTCATAAATCACATTTCCCAATTAATTACTTGTGTGTGCTTTCTAACGAAAGATACAACCCACCAAAATGCAGCTAGCAATGGTTCCCACAGAACAATGTATTGTTATGGTTAAGATAAAACTCATCTCCCTCCTCCCAAGTCTGTGGCAACCGAAAACGAAGGGAAAATGGCTTCAGCTAATTTTGTTGTAGAGTTGACACCCAGCAGTCTTGGAAAAGGTGCAAATGAGAGAGGGATTCCCTTGGAGACACACTGTGCTTAAGGGGAAATGTAGCTTCTCCCCTTCCTCTCCCCCATTGCAAGCCAAGTAGGAGCGCACTTGTCTTGTGAACATAGAGAGCTACACGAAGAAAGGAGGAACATAAACACAAATAGACCAAATTAAAACTCGAAAAGCAGGCAGGATGTTGCCAAAACATGAGGCACCTGGAGCATCAAAATAAAAGCAAAAAACTCCAGTTGAAGTGCAATGAAGCCCAGCGGTCTAAGAAAAGGTGCAGACTAGAGAGAGAATTCTTTGGAGCTGCAGTGCTTAAGGTGAAAGGTAGCTTCTCCCTGCCCCTATTTGCACCCTGAAAAAGACACTCTGTCACACACATGCCTGGGGGGGGGGTCCACCTCCAAACAGGTTTTGGGGGAGCTCCTAGTTGCACGCTGGTCTTGTGCGCATTTGTCTTACAAACTTGAAGAGTTGCATGAAGGCAGCACGAGCCCAGCTGGAGTACCAGGAGGGGGAGAGGAGGAAAATGAGGAAGAAGAAGAAGTAGCAGGAGGAAGAGAGAGCAGGACCAGGAAGAGGAGTCAGAAGAAGAGATAGCAGAAGAAGCAGGAGGACAGAGAGGAGGAAGGACGCAGAGCTCAGATGTTGCAAACCAGTTGCAAGTGCAGCTGTCAGAGGACCTTGCACTGAGTAGACAGCTTGTGTCCCTGCCCAGACCCCTACAGGCTTGCCACATTCCTGGAAGTGGAAGATGTGCTTTCAGTGCACTTCCAGCTGTGCGGCCCAGTTCCTAAGAGGCCGCGGCCCAGTACCGGTCCGCAGACTGGGGGTTGGGGACCCCTGTTCTAGCTTACCAAAAAGTAGGTTGTGGTCTACTTTGTCAAATGCCTTACTGAAATCCAAGTATACTATTAATCAGAATAGAGCTGGAATGGACCTGGGAGGTCTTCTAGTCCAACCCTCTGTCTACCATTTTAGACAGGTGGCTGTCCAGTCTTTTCTTAAAAACCTCCAGTGATGAAGCTCTTACAACTTCTGAAGGCAAGCAGTCACACTGGTTAATTGTTCTCACTGTTAGGAAGTTTCTCCTTAATTCCAGGTTGCTTCTCTCCTTGATTAGTTTCCATCCATTGTTTCTTGTCTTGCCTTCTGGTGCTTTTGAAAATAAGTTGTTCCCCTCTTTTTTGTGACAGCCCCTGAAATAATGGAATACTGCTATCATGTTACCCGTAGTCCTTCTTTTCTCTAGATTAGTCCTACCCAATTCCTGCAACCGTTCTTCATATGTTTTAGTTTGCAGTCCTGTAATCATTTTAGTTGCTCTTCTTTGCACCTTTCCCAAAGTCTCAAGATCTTTTTTGTAATGAAGTAACCAAAACTGGACACAGTATTCCAGGTGTGAGGTGTGTTCTTACTAAAGATTTATAAACCAGTACTAATACTTCATGTGGTTTTGATTCTATGCCTCACTTTATACAAGCAAGGATTGTATTAGCTTTTTTTGGCTGCTGTGTCTACAGCATTTCGCTGGGGTCTGCTAATTTAGTCACTTTGTCAAAAAATGAGAAAAGGTTTGTTTGGCATGATCTGTTTTTGACAAATCTGTGTTGGTTTCTGGTTATAACTTCGCTTGCTTCTAGGTGTTTGCAGATCTGTTGCTTGATTAGCTTTTCCAGGATCTTCCCAGGTATTGATGTCAGGTTGATTGGTCTGTAGTTTCCTGGATCTACTTTTTTCCCCTGTTTTGAAGATGAGAACCACATCAGCTTTTTCCCAGTCCTCTTGTAGTTCCTCAGTGCTCCAGGATCTTTGAAAGATATTGTTCAATGGTTCCAAGTTCAAATCTGCTATCTCCTTCGGAACTCTTAGATGTAATCTGCCAGGTCCTGGTGATTTGAACTCGTCTAGAGTGGACAGATGTTCTCTTACCATTTTCTTGCCTATTTTAATTTGAATTCCTAGTCTGTCTTTTACAGTTCTGTTTTGGTAGGTTGGACTGTTTTTTCTTTTTGGTGAAGACAAGATGCAAAGAAAGAATAAAGTAGCTCTGCTTTCTCTATGTTGCCTGTCACTTCCTTGCCATATTTTCCCATTAGTTGGGATTGTTTCTGTGACTTTTTTCTTGTTTTTTTATATGTTGAAAGAAACATTTTTATTACATTTGACATTTGTTGCAAGTCTTAGCTCATTCTGAGCCTTAGCTTTCTGACTTCATTGTTGCAGATTTGGGCTTTATGCTGGTATTTTGCCTTAGTTATGTATCCTTCTTACCATTTTTATATACTTGTCCTTTTTGTATTTTAGTTTATCAGAGACTAATTTGTTTAACAATGCTGGTTTCTTTTTGGATTTCCTGTTTCTCCAGCATGATGAATGTAGAATCCACCGGTGGGTAATATCAGCCTTCCTGCTCAGAATAGACTAAGTCAGAACTTTAGCCACGCCTCCCTCTGGGAGTGTCTTCCAGTTTTTTTGACTTAGTTTCACTCAGTAGGACGCAATTACTTTGGCTCCTCAGTTAGACTAGTTAATTAATTTTGGTTTATTCCTAATTGCATTTCAAATTACTTAAAAGAGTTCTAAATTTATTTGTTTTATTCTGACTTGATTTTTGGATC